GCTGGTGGGGAGCTGGGAGGACCCGGGATGCAGGATCCCAGCGGGAAGGTGGGCCGGGACCAGGCAGGCATGCTGCTTCCCTGCGGGGCATTAATAATTAAGCAGGCGCGTCGGGCTCAGATGGCAGCTCTTATTTAAGGAGCCGATATAAATACCGCCCAGACGGCACTTATGGAGCACCTAAAAAAAGCCCTGGCTCTCTCAGTCCCTCCAGAAGCAGCTCTGAGCTCTGCAGGGCCAGTGGACAGCATCGGGCAGGGTGGTCACCAGCTGGGACAAGGTGCTCCAGGCTCTGAGCCTGAGAAGTGGCAACATCTGGGGCCAATCCTCCAGGCGCTGCTCGTGCCTCAGTTTCCCTCTGCAGCAGGGACCTTCCTCAACCTTTCTCCTGTGTGGTGACAAGGCACAAAGGGCAGGGCTGGATGCTGAGCCCTGTGTCCTGGGTTGGTGGCACTGGGTGAGAGGTGGTGGGGAGGGGTCTCTGACAACCCACTCCCCACCTCTCTGGTGCCAGGGGAAAGCCACCCTGTGTTCCAGTGGTTACCAATTGCCTTTTTGTGTTTGTGCTGGCAGTCAGTGGCCCCCTGGCCTTGCTGTCCCCCATGTCACAGCTACCCCGGGACACCCCTCTTGCACCAGGATCAGGGGCACTCATCCTCCAAGGACAGCCCCGTCCCTTTTTTAGAGACATCAGGATCCCCCCCCCAGAGCTGCTCAATCTCTACTGAAGGGCAGGGGGTTGAGGAGGTGTGAGGCAGATGGGGAACACTGACACAGCCATGACCTGGAGGGGCAGTGGGACCCCCCAGCCTGGGCATCACCCCCACACCAGCATCCTGTCCCTGCAGGAGAGGACAAGGAGCCGGAGGCGGGAGGGACAGGGCTGTCACAGCGAGCCGCTTGCTGCAGTCCTGCTCGCAGCTCTGCAGCGTGACTCAGCACAGCCTCACAGCTCCCAGCCCCACCACCACGGCCTCCTCCTCCAGCCTGGAGGGGGATACACACTTCCCACCTTGCCTCTGCCCTCCCACAGCCCCTGTCACCCCCAGAGCCACCCCACCGTTCTGCTCATCCCTGTCTATCCCCACCCCAGGACCACCAGCAGCTCCTCAAGCCTCAGCACAGGCAGGGACCCCCCCTCCAGGGGCAAGCTGGGGCTCTGAGCAATGTGGAGTGAGCTGAGTGTCACTCTGCCAGCACCCATCACCTCCACCATGGCCATGGATCTGGCTGGATCTGGCTCTGTGGGTCTCCGTGCCCAAAGCCCCAGTTCAGGATCTGGGGAGCATAGCACCAACTCCTGCTGTGGCACCTCTCCAGGTGCTGGGAGAAAGGATTTGGGGTGCTTTTTGCTGGGGGGATTGGAGTGAAAGAGATGCCGAGTCACATAGAAAAGTCTGGGGATTTTTAAAAGGATTTTTTTTGAGCCCCACTTCGGGGTGTTTAGAGCCTGCCAGGATCAGCTTCTCCCAGTATTTCTGTGCACATCCCCCCTGGCCATGCCCTGGAGGTTATCGGGAGGTGAGGAGGGTGGGCAGAGAAAGCAAGCAGCACTGAGGAGGATGACTGAGCACCTCTAACCACTCCCACATCCCCAGGCTCAAGGGCGCTTGCAGGGCAGGACCCCGCTGTCTGTGCTGTGCCCCCGGGGACAGCCCATCCACATCCCCATCCCCGGGATGGCAGACAACAGGGCATTTGGGGTTGTGTAGCCGGAGCACCCATCCTGCTGCATCCAGGGGGATGCAGATTGGATTAAACCAAGGGCCCAGCTGGCACGGAGCACCCGGGGAATGGCCAGACCCCCGCAGGGCAGCCAGCCCCTCACCCGCGGCATTGCTATGGGAAGCACCGCTGCCAGCAAATTGCTCTCCTGTCTCGCCCTCCAAACGGGAGCGGTGGCAGCGAGGCGGCAGCGAGTTGGCTTTCGCCAGCATTTCAGCAGCCCACGTGGGGTGGCTCCTGCCAGGGGAGAGAAGTAAAATTAAATATATATATATATATATATATAAAAAAGGCAAAGAGCGAGGAGGAGATGACGGATGGGAGGATTTGCAGCCGTGGCCGTTTGTCCTGGTGGAGGGAGCCCTGGATTCTGCAGGCACAAGGAACCTGCCGGTGCCCGTGGGCCATGGGCACGCATCCCCCAGCACGGCTCGGCACGGCACGGCACGGGGAGCAGCCGTCCCCGCGGTCCCCCCGCCGCCCCGCTGCCTTTGCCAGCCGACTAATTGCGCCAGTGACTTTGCAGTTCCCAAAATAGCTCCTGGCTCCGGCGGGTGACGTCAGCGGGAGCCGCGGCGGCAGGCCCGGCAGGAGCAGGGAAGGAGGACGCTGCCGGGCGTGGGGTGTGGTGAGCAGCTCCTGCACCCCACCACGGTCCCGCTGGGTGACCTTGGCACCGTGGGCCGTGATCCCAAGGGAGCGAGACTCGCAGTGCCGCAGGGATGCTGCGGGGAGTCCAAATCCTCATCCACCCCTTCGGAGGAGGTGGTCCAAGGATGTCCCTGCCCTGCATCCCTGCCACGTGGGTGCCCACATCCCCAGGACCTCTGGCCGCAGGGAGTGGGGCAGCCTGTTCAGAGGGGCAGATCTGCCCCTCGGTGCCCCCGTATGGTAAGGAATGCCCCCTCAACCAGGGCAGCTGGATGCCTGCAGCTGCCCAGGGGTGCCAAGGGGTGAGCCAGGGCCACCCTCACGATGCCCCTCCAGGGAAACTGAGGGATGCAGGAGGATGCAGAGGCAGCAGGGAGAGCAAGGGGGGCACAGCGAGCAGACAAACAGAGCAGAGCTCAAGGTCACCCAGGTGCTGCTGGACACAGCAGAGCCAGGGATGCTCCCCGGGCCAGGGCTGCCTCGGGCACTGACTCACCCTGCGCAGAACAGTGCCCAGCTCCTCCAGTTACAGGCACAGATGGGATTGCCTTAACAGGGCACAGTGGGTGACAGGACAGTCCTGAGAAAGCACCCCTGGGACTGGGCACACACACCCAGGCCCCTCCAACCATCCCTGCAGTCTTCCCCCTCTCCAAGCAAGGCATCCTCCATACCACTTCCCAGCCAGAAACACTGGCTTGTACTGGCCTCACACTGGTCCCAGAAAAGGATCCTCATCCCTCCCAGCACAGCCAGGCACAGCAATGTCTGCCCCAATTTCTGGGGACCAGAACTCCTGAGCCCCACACCAGCACTCAGCCAGAGGCTGGCTTATTATTCAAGAACACGGCAAAGTAATTAAAGCCTCCTCCATTTCCCCTTGCTCATTTGTGCTCCTTCAGCCTGGATTAATGGGTCTCCTCTCCCCAGCACAGACTCATTCCTTATTCCTAATAGTCCATAAATCCCAGCCCCAAAATAACCTCAGCTTTTGCCTGGGCCTGCTGAAATATTTATTCTCTCCTCCCTGCTACCCCCCACACCATCCCCTCTCCGGGGATGGGGAGAGGAGCTAATCAATGGGATCGACCGATGAGGAGCTGCAGCTGCTCTGGGCACCGGGAAACAGCTGATGTCGGCAAGAGGATAAGAGCTGGGCAGGAACCTCGGCTTATCCCGGCTCCCACGCAGCCGCTGCAGCCTGGCTGTGGTCCCAAGGCAGGATGCTCTCGCACCACCGGCATCCCCCGCGCCGGTACCCTGCTCCAGAGCATTCCCCGTGCTGATACCCAGCTCTAGAGCATCCCCTGTGCTGGTACCCTGCTCCAGAGCATTCCCTGTGCTGATACTCTGCTCCAGAGCATCCCCTGTGCTGATACCCTGCTCCAGAACCTTCCCTGTGCTGGTTCCCTGCTCCCACCCTGCCTGTCACTCCCTGCTCCCATGGAGATGATGTCCAGCTTGGCTGTGCAGTGTCTAGGGGGATCCCTGTGGATCCCAGCCCACTCCAAGCTGGCTGTGGGAGAAAAGGCTGGAAGACAAGGGAGGCAGCTGCTGTCTCTCCTGGCTGGAAACCCTTTGCTTGCTGGATTGCAGGTTGAGGAAGGGAGAAGCTCCAGGAGAGCAGGACCTGCTTTCCCAGCCCAAAGCCAAGAACAGCAGGGTGTTGGGTAACACCAAAACCCAGCCTGACTTTGCCGGCTCAAGGCACAGCCCTCAAGGAAAACAGGGAAAGCCCATCCAGCCTTACTCACCTTCCTCCCTGCAACACCCCAAGAGGCAGCAGCCTCCAGAGCAGCTCCTGGCCACCAGATCCCTCCCCAGCTCCCATAGCCATGGGGAGGGGTCGGCAAAGCTGGCAGAGCCCGCAGCACCCTCTGACCCATCCCCAGCTGGTGTGGGCTGCAGGGGGGCCTGGGGAGTGCCGGGGACTGCTCTGTTCCCCTCCTGCTCCCAGCAGGATCCAGGCATTACCCAGCTGTCCCGGAGGCAGAAGACAAGGAGGGGGGTGAGGGGGCAGCAGGGTGGGCAGTGGAGCATGCAGGACCTGGGAAAGGAGAGGTTTTATTCACACACCACCTCCCTGCCCTTTCCCAGGGCCCCAGCAAGCCCAAGTCGAGCTGCACTGCCACAGCCTGCCTGGAAGATGCTTCCATGCCTCAGTTTCCCTTCCATCCCCTCAGTGATGGAAATCTGGCCTGGGGGCAAAGTGCTGGAAAAGCTCTGCCCACAGGAAGTGGAGGAGAGGCAGCCAACATCAGCCTTAGCATGGGGCCAGGGCCACCCCACAGCCCACATGACTGCCAAATCCACTGGGAACAAACCCACGGCTGGAACCAACCCTGAGCCTGGTGCGGCTCAGGGCTGTACCCCCAGAGCTGGGGTGGGGAGGGGTCTAAGCTGGGCTCTCAGCTGGGTGGGAATCAAGGGATTTGCACCAATTTTTGGCAACAAGAGCTGAGCCTTCTCCTCCAGGTTTGGGACATTGCCTCTTCCCCAGATGTTTACTGCTGTCCAGGGCTTTGAGGGGGTGATGGGGAGACAAGTCAGGTCTCAGAGCACTTCCAAAGGGCTTTTATTTATTCACAAAACAAAACCAAACACATATAAGGAAAAATGGGAAAACCAAGAAGCCCGACCCAGGAATATACACAGTCTATTATTAACAAAAGGATTGCACAAACAGAGGAGTGAGTGCAGCAGAGGGAGCAGCTGGGACCTGCTCTGTGTTGCTGCACGAGCCCTTCCTCACCCTTACACCCCATCCATGAGAACACAGAGATCATTTTCCTGGTGTCCCATTAGGAATCAAACACTTGGTGGTGAAGGCAACTGATGCTGTAGGATGGGTCCTTCCACCTGAGCTGGGAGGGAAACAGCCTTTACCCCAAACGCATGGCACTGGGAAGAGACCGGGCTCTTGGGTCCCTTTCCTTGCTCTGGGAGGGGATTTGGGGTCTCCCCTATGGTTTTCCATCTGCTTGTGTCCTGTCTGCCAGCTCCCTGCCTGCCCTGGGCACCCTCACCTGCCCTGAGCATTATGGAGCTTATGGGACAGAGCAGTCAAAGCCAGCATGTCTGGATAGCACAGGATGGAGAAGGATGGTGAGGCTACAAGGAGCCCCATCCTTTCCCACTCCCCAAGGGATTTTTTGGGCAGGTACACAGGCTGTGCTGAAGCCCCCCAGGAAGGGAAATCTCAGCTGAGCTCTCCTAAAACCCCACAGAGTTTGCAGAAGAAACAGGGGAAATGGACATGAGGATTGCAGATGGCGTGAGATCCAATGCCTGCATTTCTGCTGCATGGAAATGAGGGAGGGATCGGTATTTCTGATACCAAAATGGGAAGAAAAAGCTGGTATTGGGATTTCTGAGAGGCTTTCAAAGCAAATTGCAGAACAGCAGCAACTCGCTGCAGAGCCACTGGAACATCCTGGTGGGATTTCAGCCCCCTTTTTACATTTTCTGAGTATAATCTAGCGTCATTTTCACAGCAGAAAGTCCATTTTTCTCTCCTCCTCTCTTAAAAGAAATGGCTGAAACCAACCAGATTTCACACCAAAAGCGGTTCTGTTTTTCCAGGGGGTGGTCTGGGGGAAAAAACCTTCAGCCAGTATTTCAGGAGCTGAGGAGAGCCCAGTCCTCACCCAGCTCTTCCCATCCTCAGAGCCCAAACACCCACAGCGGACTCAACCTGTGCCCTCGTGGGGTGAGTGGGGAAACTGGGGCAGAGAGTGGGTGTCAGGGTTCAGCCCCTCTTTGTGGGCATCACCCCTGTCCCCCCTTACCTGCGGGGGGGTCCCGGCGGGGCGGGCGGTCATAGGATGTCACAGACAGCACCGGCGTCCTCGGAGTGGTCGCAGTTGTGGACGTCCCAGCGGATGTGGGAGCAGCGCAGCAGCGAGGGCTCGTGGCCCTTGCACTTGAGGTTGTCGAGGAAGATGTAGCCCGTGCCCTGGCCGTACCGGGCCTCCCCCCAGGCTGCCATGGCGTGCCCGCAGCCCACCTGCCTGCACACCACCTTGGCGTCCCGCAGGTCCCAGGCGTCGTCGCACACCGTCCCCCACTGGGACAGGTAGAACATCTCCACGCGCCCCTCGCACCGGTGGCTGCCGTTCACCAGGCGCAGGGACCCTGCGGAGGGCACGGGGTGAGGCAGCCCCTGCCCGTGCCCATCCCGGTGCTGCGCCCCCCTCTCCACCACCTTGGAACAGCTCTGGTCTTTCCAAGGCTCTGCAGATGTTTGCTGGGGCCCGCAGCTCCCCCACTGCCTCCACACAGCCAGAATCACGGGGGGGTGACCAGCTGCCAGTACCTGGGTGACCCCCAGAGCATTGTGGTGGATGTTCAACTTGAAAGAATGGACAATAATTCTCTGTTCCTGGCTCAGCCCCTTTGATCCATCACCTCCCCTCCTCACCAACGTCCATCACCCAGTGGTCCATCACCTGAGGTCCATCGTCTCTTCTCCCATCCAAAATCCAACACTTAATGGTCCATCACCTGAGGTCTGTCACCTCTGCCTGAACCAACCTTGGTGGCACCAGGAGAGCCCATGACTTAATGGTGCCACTAGTTTTTCCCCCTCCTATGACCTGCTCCAGGTGGATGCTTCAGACACTGCCAAAGCCTGTGCCACTGCCCAAGCCACCTCCGTTTCCATGCTGTGCCAGTGTGGAGCATCCCCAGGGCTGGCACTGAGTCCCCAGTGACACCTCAGTACCTACCCTCCCTGGGACGAGTTGGGACCAACGTGGTGGTCGTAGCGGTGGCTTCTTGGAAATGGTCTCCAGCATCATCAGCACCTGGTGTGGTGGGGAAGGGGGGACTCAGGTGACTCAGGGGACACCTGACCCCAGGGCCAGGACAGAGCCCCCCAGCAGTGGTGTGGGATGGCTGGGGATGGATGCAGGGTCGTGTGGGGTGGGATGTGCAGTCACTGCACTTCCAGGGATGTGCACAAATGGAGACCAGAGATGATAGACACACTCCAGCCATCACCATGGTGAGCCACGGTACCAACTGCCATTGCTGTCCCCCATGGGCAGGAGGCCCCCCAGGGTCAGGTCAGAGCCCCCCAGCAGCAGCGTGGGATGGCTGGGGACTGATGCAGGGATGTGTGGGGTGGAATGTGCAGCCACTGCACTTCCAGGGAAGTGCACAGAGACCAGAGGTTGTATTCACATTCCAACCATCACCCGCACCACAGCACCGAGCACTGCTGCTGTCCTCCACAGGCAGGAGGAATCCCAGGGGCTCATTAATCACCCACTACCCCATTTTGGAGACCCCACTTCCCGCAGCCCCCCCCGAGCACAGCCAAAATCCTCCCTACACCCATTATCTCATTGATTTTCCACTCCACTGAGCTTCACTTCACTGGAGATCCCCCTTCTCCCAGCTGGCGGCCCCCAGGCTCTCCCCGACTCTCACCTCGGCAAATGACCCCGGCGTCCTCGTGGTGGCCGCAGTTGTGCTGCCCCCAGCCCAGGTGGAAGCAGTCGGCCAGGCGAGCCTCGCCGCCGCCGCATCCCACGTTATCCAGCAGGACGGGCCCGCTGCCGTAGCCGAAGGAGCCGAGGACGGTGGCGGCGAGGGCGGCCCCGCAGCCCAGCTGCCGGCACACCACCTGGGCGTCGGGGAAGTCCCAGTCGTCGTCGCAGACGGTGCCCCAGGTGCCGCGGTGCCGCACCTCCACCCGCCCGCGGCAGCTCCCGTTCCCGTTCGCCAGCCGCACGCCGCCACCTGCGTGGGGGCCCCGGCACAGGCACGACACCGGGGGGGACCAGGGCTCCACAGGGGGGTCCAGTGTCCCCTGCTGACCCTCCAGGGGTATGGGGTGAGCCCCCAGGGAACGTGGGGTGAGCGTCTGGGTTATGGGGTGACACATAGTGACGTGGGAGCAACCCCCTGGGGATGTGGGGCAAACCCCTAGGGACATGGATGCAACCCCCCCCAGGGATGTGGGACAAAACCCTGTGGGCATGGGGTGAGCCCCTGGGTTATGGGGTGACCCCTGGGGGCATGGGAGCAACCCTCCAGGAATGTGGGGCAAAACATTCAGGGCATGGGGTGATCCCCTGGGTTATAGGGTAACACATGGGGACATGGGTGCAACCCCCTGAGGATGTGGGGCAAAACCCTGCGGGTGTGGGGTGAGACCCTGGCCTATGGGGTGACCCTCGGGGACATAAGAGCATCCCCTGGGGGCATGGGGTGAGCCCTTGGGAGCATGGGGGGAAGCATGGGAATGTCAGCTGAGCCCCTGGGGACTAAGGGTGAGCCCTGTGGATGTGGGGTGAGCCCTGGGGATAGGGGGTGACCCCCCCGGGAACGGGTAGCCCCATGCAGAACTAGCAGCAGCTGCACACTTACTTTCCTGCTCGACAGTCAGGAGCATGGTGGTGACCACCTCAGTGGCCTGGGAGGGCTGGTCCCTGCCGTCTGTCACTGCTGGGACAAGCATGGGGACACACAGGCATTGGGTGGTCCAGATCCAGCACCCACTGCCCCTCTTCAGTCGGTGCCAGTGGCCACCAACACCAGAGCTGCCCCATGGCAAGCTACTGCCATGGGCAATGTCACTTCCAGAGTGTCACCCACGCGTGGCAGGACCCCAGGGTGACTATGTTGGGTCACAGCAGGACACAGAGGGCATGATGCCCCCCAACAAGACCCCAGCTGAGTGACTGCTGACCTGTGGCCGTGGCTGTGAGTGTCTCCTCAGAGTCCAGGGCCACTGAGGTGGTGAAGGATGTGATGGTGGACGTGTCCAGCCCTGCAGTGACACAGAGGGACAGAGGTGAAATGGCAGGAAGAAAGATGCACAGCTGTGAACGTCCTGACCGTGAGAGGCGAACCCGGGTGGTCGGACTCGATGACCTCAGAGGTCTTTGTCTTTTCTGACCTAGTTGATTCTGTGATTCTGTGAGTCTGGATGCTCCAGGGCAATGGGGATAAGGATGGACCATGTCCATCTGCACATTTCTGCTGCTCAGGTGCTTCTCCACCCCAGCCCAAGTGCTGGGGTCCCGCATGGGACCTTCTGCCTTATCCCCTACCCCTCTGAGCAGAGGCTGTTCATGGTGATGCCATCAGCTCACTGCCCAGGGGAGGTGCCAGAGGGGATGGGGATGTTTAAGGAGGAAAGGACCAGCCTGAGAAAATTGTCCCTTTTCTCCTGCATCAGCCTCTTTGTCCCCTAATAGCAGGAAAGGGAAAGCACTGGCACTTACTGCTCCCGTCATTAGCCATGATAATGAGGGAATTCAGGGGGATTATTAACATTATAAACAGTAATCAGCGGAGAATGGCAGAAATGCATCATTTCAGGAGGGGAAGGGGAGGCAGGCTGGGCCTGGCATCGTGCCCGGCCCCTGGCAGCCGCTTACTCATTCCGGACTTGGGCAGCTTGTTTTCCAGCCAGCAGAGCAGGGAAGTGGCAGAAGGAAATGGCAGGATGGCAGATGCATTTCCCCTGCAAATCACCACTCCAGCCATGTCCCAGTCTCTCTGTGCAGTGTTGCATCCTGCTCCAGACCACCAGGATGACGGCAGATAAGGAGCAAGGATGTTCCTACAGCACCAAAGACTGGTCCCTGGCCAACCCTGGGCACCTCAGCATCTCTCTGAGGCCATTTCTCCTCAGAGACTGGAAAGTCCCTGGTTTTTCCCTGCCCTGGTACCTGCACAGATGACCCCGGCGTCCTCGTGGTGGCCACAGTTGTGGATGCCCCAGCCGAGGCTGTAGCAGGCGGAGAGGAAGGGCTCGCTGCCATCACAGTTGACGTTGTCCAGGAGGATGCGCCCTGTCCCATAGCCAAAGTAGGCATTGCTCTTGTAATCCAGGGCCTGCCCACAGCCCAGCTGCTTGCAGACCACGCTGGCATCACTCAGGCCCCAGTCGTCGTCGCAGACGGTGCCCCAGTTCCCGCGGTAGAAGATCTCCACCCGCCCCTGGCAGGTGTCGGGCCCGCTCACCAGGCGGATGCTGCCGTCACCTGGAGGGTGGCAGCACGTGGTGAGAAGGATGTTGTGTCCCTGCAAACGGCACAGGGATGCCACCGAGCCTGGAAATGGCAGTGCCCGTGATGGCAAAGAAACTGAGTGAGAAAGAGCGGGGAAAGGGTGGTGCTTTAGGGAAATACAGCTTGGGAGCCTTGGAAAGCTCTGGGATAGGGTTTGGCCATGGCCAGCACAATGATAGATCCCCAGGGTTCTGCCCCTCGGAGCTGGAGAGTTGGGGGGCTCAAGAGGGGCAGCAGGTGATGGTGGGGGACACTGCCCTCAGCCAGGATGTCCCCCCTGCAAGCAGCACTCAAGCAGCTTACTTTCCCCATCCTGTACCGGGGCTGTGAGGGTCCTGGTGGTCGGTCCTTCGCTGGCTTGCGTGGGTGAGAACTCTGCAAAGGGAAGCAGAGAGGTGGCACCTGCTCCTGCTCCACCATGAAGCTGGAGGGATCCCTCCCACCCCACTGCTCCAGGAGGATTTGCACCAAACTAGCCCCAAGAGGGAAATAAAGAGGGTTTGCAGCTGCACTGCCCTGCCCAGAGCTCTCTGCCAAGGGCTCAAGCCACTTCTCTGCCCTCAGACCCACCTCCCCTACCTTCTTCTTCACCCCTTCCACCTCTCCTCTCCAGCAGTGCCCTGGCTCAGTTTCTTGCTCAGTCCATGACCTCTGTTCTCTGGTCCAACCCACCAGCCAACCCATCATCTCTGCCTTTCCATCCTTCCTTTTCCAAGCCCTACTTCTGGAGGACACAGGGATTCACTGAGCAGCTGCTCTGGGTCTGCACAGCCTCACATTCAGTGCTCACTGATGCCTGGCTGATGAGCAAACCCTGAGTAGCTACACAGGAGGAAAGTGTGTGGGGTACATAGGGGTCGGCACGGAGTTGTTCCACTTTCACTTGCCAAGTTCAAACACTTTCCACTGCTTTTCTCACCTTTAGGAACATTTTCCTACTGAAAAGCTCAGCAATTTAAAGAAAGACAAGTCAAAAGGGGTAAGAGCAGTGGGGCAGCGACTGACTCAGAGGCTGAAACGTGGGTGGGCATGTGCTCTTTCCCCAAGGATTGTGCTGGAGAGGTCGCAAAGTCCCTGAGCTGGGAGTGAAAAGAAACACAAAACAGGCTGGTCACCTTATGGCACCAGCATGTGGAGCTGGGAGGTGACCTGGATTGAGGAAAGAGGTGGAGGGGGGATGCAGAGGAGGCTTGGCTGACCCGGGATCATAAGAACAGAGGCTGGGATATGACTCGGGCTCTACCAAAGCATCTGCACCCCCCAAGGCTTGCAGCCCCCCAGGAGCTCCCTGCTCTCCTTGCCCCCAGGGAACCCAACCTCACTACCATTGCACACGACAGCCACGTCCTCGTAGTGGTAGCAGTTGTGGATGCCCCAGCCGTGGCTCCAGCACTCGCTCAGAGCTGCCTCCCAGCCCTTGCAGTCCACGTTGTCCAGGAAGATGGGCCCGCTCCCCTGGCCGAAGGTCATGGCAGCCGGGAGGGTGATGGCGTGGCCGCAGCCCAGCTGGCGACACACCACGTTGGCATCCACGATGTCCCAGTCGTCGTCGCAGACCGTCCCCCAGGAGCCGTTGTAGAGGATCTCCACCCGCCCCTGGCACCGGCTGGGCCCGTTGGAGAGACGGATCTCTGGGAGGACGAGCAGAGGGAGGTCCCTTAGCAGGCAACAGGCCACGAGGTGACAAACACTCAGGGGGAGCAAAACTATTCTAAATCCCTGCTCCTTAAATAAAATGGTGACTCTTCCCTGTATCACAGGGCTTGGTGCTGCCCACCTGGTGGTGGGACATTGGGCTTCCCTTCATCTGCTGGAAGCAGAGGACATGGAGACTCAACATATCTCAATACAAGTGAGATGCACCAACATCAAGGCTGGGTTGGACAGGGCTTTGACCCACGTGGTTTAGTGGAAGGTGTCCCTGCCCATGTCATGTTGGGGTTGGAACAAGGTGGGATTTAAGGTCCCTTCCAACCCAAACCATTGTGTGACTCTATGATCATGCCATCATTTCACCTCCTAAAGGGCAATAACCCAACAGGAGAAGAGGAAAGCAGATGTGAGGCACCCATGTGTAGACATACAATGGGTGACAAGTGACGAGGTGCAATTAGCAAACTCTTATGAGCCTCAACGAACAGATCCAGAGTTGATCCCACGTGGGAGTCGGTAGGATGGAGATGATCCCTCAAGCTGCTGGTGACAGGGAGCAGGCATAGAAGTGCTCCTGGCCTGCCACGTCAAGGGAATTATTTGCTTGTGTGTGATGCATGGCACAGGGACAGGGACTCAGCAGGAGGTGGCAAAATTCCCCTCTCAGGATAATAAGTGGAACAGGGATAATAAAGAAACTCTATTTCCTTTCTGTAAAACAAATTTAGCTTCTTGCTGCTTTTTATTCCAAACCAATATGCTTCCTTTTTGAAATTCCCCAAATCCTTTTTTTTTTTTTTTAACCAAAAAAATGCATGTTTCAACTTCCTGGAGAAAAGTGATTTTAAGAGAAGAATCTCACCTGGGAATTGCAACATCTCGGGCTCGGAGGTGGTGCCTGTAAGGGAGAAGAGAAGGGATCAGCTCTCCCCAGCCCTTGAAGCATGGGGAGCTCAAAGGATGATGGCAGCAGGGATGGGGTGGGCATGGTGGGGGACCCGACAGCCCCTGGACCCTTTCCTTTCCTGCAAAGGCCTGAGGTTTGTAGGGGAAAAATTAAACACCTTTTCTCAGGGCATCAGTTCATCTGCTTCACAGTGGGGGAAACTGAGGCAGCATGTGGGTGACTGTGGCTCTGCGGTGGGACTGTGCTTGAAGCACTGGGTGACACACACTGAAGAGCCCAGTGGCCAGCAGCAGCCACCCCAGGTGGGTCCTGCCTTGAGTCAGGCCTTGGGGATCTTCATATCAATCCATGGCTCCATTCATGAGTTGCTGCAGGCCCTGGGCAGCTCCTGCATGCCCCTACCCTGTGCCCCATGGAAAAGTTGAGTGGTGAGTTGGGGATGAGGAAAACCCATCCTGCCTGCCTTGAGAAACCCACTGGAGATCTCCTGATGGAAGATGCTGTGCCCTGTGTGCATTTTAATTGATTTTTTCTTTTTTTTTTTTTTTTCTCCCAACAAAGTCTGCTTTTTGCAAGCTCCATAATTACGTGCAAGCACCAACACACCTATTGATGGGGTGCATCCACCTTAGGGGGTGAGCAAGCAGCCTCCAGAGGGAACTGAATGTTTGCAGGATGCATTTACATTCCAGCCAGCTGGGTTTGAATGAGGGCTCTGGAAGTGCCCTGCCAGCAGCCCCACACTCAGGGTCTGGATGCTCAGGGAAGGGCTAAGGGAAAGCTGAAACTCCTCCTGGCAGCCTGCTCCTCCCACTGGGCTGGGCCCCCCTCCCACAATTTGGGCATTTATTTGGGCACAAAAACTCTCTCAGCCCCAGTGCTGAGTGATGTGGGGTCCCCCCTGGGATGCTGCCAGCATGGGGCACTGAGAGCTTGTCCAGGAGGTCACAGCAGCATGATCCAGGGGACAGTGGATGGGAACGAGTGGCTGGACCTTGTGGACATCCCTGTCACTGCCCACTGGGTACCCACTGGGTACCCTGGGAGTTCACAAGCTCTTGGCAGATGCCAGAGCCCAGCACAGATTCCTTGGCCATCTGAGGCACCTCAGGCTTGAGGCTGTGGCTGCACAGCCCTCTCCCATGGGTGACACCTTCCAAAACCCTTCCAAACCTAGTGGAAGGTGTCCCTGCCCATGGCAGGCGGTTTGGAATGAGAGGAGCTGTAAGATTTTTTCCAAGCTGAACCGCCCCGTGATTCTGTGATGCCTCCATGCTAATTACAGCACCCAAGGGCTCATCAACGCCCATGGTGGCTCCGTGGCCTCTTTTCCTCACCCTGCCTTGGACCAGCCCTGTCCTGCTTCACGCTCAGCCCACGAGCAATGACGTGAAGGTCAATCCCAGCCGCTCCGGAGGCGGATGTCACCACCGTGAGAGGCAGCGTGAGCCTGGGGGGACAGTTGAGCAGATGAACCCACCTCCCTTTTCCTTGCTAGGACGTTGCCTGGGAGACCATTAAGTCAGCCAGAAAACAGGGCTGTCAAAGAAAGACCTAGAAGCCCCAAGAGAAACGAGAATAAGGCAACTGTCGAGATGTATCCATGAGTTAGCAGGGATGCTGCCCGTAGCTGGGATGAACATCAGCAACCAGGGAGCTCCAGCCCTGGTCGGGCATTCCTGCCCTCCCCAGCTGGACCAGGCAGGCTGGAAAGGGATGCTGTGATACCAGCAAGAAGTGGGAGTTACGCAGGCAAGACCAAGGGAGCAGAGAGGCTCTAAAGGAGAGAACAGGGAAGGACATGGCAGCCCTGTGGGCTGGAAAACAGGAGAGAGAGATTATTCAGCTCACCTCTGCACCAAAAATGTGGAGATGTGAGCGTTTCTAGGAAGAGCGTTTCATCCTGGTTTGTATTGATTTTTAACACCTAGTCCACTCCAGTGCCGAAGAAGCAGTGGATGAAAAGACATTGATAAATATTCATTTCCCTTTAAGTCAAAATCAAAGCTCTGAAATATTCATTTAAGAGCATCCTCCAGCAAAGTCAGGAGAGATCTGAAAAAAATATGCCTGGTGTGTCTACCATAATGAGGAACGAGGGGAAAACGGTATCCTTTGAGAACAGAGAGAGAGAGGGCCCTCGGTGTTCCTCTGATCCGGCTTCACAAAGCCAAAAGAAAAAGGGAAATTGCTCGAGTAAACACCGGTGCTAAACAAAACCACCAAATGGGAGGACAAATCGCCCTTAGTTAGCGACTAATCTCTGCCCATTAATGAAGAGAACCGGGAGAACCGGGAGAGCCTGGCGGTGCAGGGGACAGCGGCAGAGCCACCGGGGTCCCCTCAAGATCCCCACATGTCGAGTGTGGGCGCCGGGGCTGCCACAGCAGCTCGGGAGGGGACGGGAAGCTCCCGCTGAGGGAGTGGGAAGGCAAAACCTGATTTGCCTCAATTAGGGTGTCTGACTACATCTGAATTCTCAGTTTTCTGGCTGGCTGTGCCTTGGCACGGGTTTGTTGAGGTAGGAATGTGTTACCCACCGCCTGGCTGTAATCACACGGATCCAGTCACACCGGGATAACTGTGCTGCCTCAGCACCTGCGCAGACCCTCGTTCCAAAGCTGGAATGGCTTTTCCCAGTTCGATTAAAATGCTTCCCAGCCTGACTGGACAGTGCCTGCCAGGAGTGAGTCGGACCATTGTCCTGAGGGAATGGGTGCACATTCCACCCCTCGCTTCGGCAGGATCAGTCCCACAGGTCCTGTGGAGCAACCCCAGGAGCATCCTTTGGCCATAAGCATCTTCCCATCGGTGCTGGACCTGCTCCCTCCATCCCTGTGCACCCTCAGTGCTGCTGGGGACACCATGCCAATCCTGCCCATGGAGAAAATCTGCCCACAAATCTGAGAGCCGGAGGGAGATCGCGGGTGCCTAAAACCCCTCCCACCGCCCAACGCGGAGCTCACCGGTGGGGCTGAGAAGGAGAAAGAGGAGGAGGAGCATGGCTGGCATCAAGGAAAGGGGCAGCACCGCGATGTCCGGCCCCCCTGTGCCGTGCCGGGTGGCCAGACAGGGCCCAGGTGTCATTGCTGCACGACAGTCCTGCCGCAGACAGGTATCCAGAGGAGGTTGTCCCTGAAACATGCAGACAGCAGTTAGTGGTGATGGCCAGAAGAACCTGTGCCCACCAAGGACCATGCAGGACCTCTGAACGCGTCCCTCTTCGGTATTGCCAGGAGCAGTGACCAGGAGACACGTGAAAAGTAATTCTAGTTGGATTTATTGAGAACAAGAGGTAATTTTTTGAGTGGCAAGATGAAGCTGAAAGGGCCACATCCCACCCGCAAAAGGAAACTGGAAGCCAGAGGCCTCTATTGTCTCTGCTCTTTGTCATCCTGTGAGAAAAAAAAAGCAGGGACAGGCATTTCTGTGGGAAGACAGTAATTTCTGGGGTCTGTAGGACAGCCTGATTCACCTGGGGGATTGAGATGCAAACTCCACGGGGGTAAGATGGAAAGCAAACAGAAATGTCAGCAGAAAACAGGGAAGAGATTAAATATCATAAGATTCCATTTCCCCTTCATTTACTGCTCCCTGCAGGAATCACTGCCGAAGGGATGGATTTCTAGCTCTGTTTCACTCACAGACTGTTCGGGAGGGGGATGGGGGCTGGTCCTGCTGGCCGCGACACCTCCGGGAGCCCAGACCCTCATCCCAGCGGTGCCAGCAGTAGGCCTGACGGCAGCGTGTGCTGGTGGAGCAGTGCCATCGTGAGGATGCTCTCACACACAAAGCCAGGCTCTCAGGCTCAGCTCAGCCGAGACCTCAGATTAGTCCCTCCAGCCTGCACGAGGCACGCCACCTCCTTAAGGGATGCACACCAGCTACTGTCATCTACTGATGGTCAAAAACCTGGGAAAGGACATTGAAATCCACTGTATCAATGACCAAACCCTCCCTCCCATGGAAACCCCTCCTCCAGCCTTTTCCTGCTCCTGGTTTTCCATGCACAGGATGAGAAGAGCTCCCAGGTGGGATCATGTGCTGGTGTCCAGCCAGCCAAGGTCCCTTAAGATCGTGGGTTGAATGGGCTCCAGAGCCTCCAGATCAAGGCTTTGTTGCCTGCACCAGAGAGAGATGATGGTGGACCAAGGGTTTTTATGTGCACCAGCCCGAGGTGATGGAGGTGCAGGACGGAGCCTCCGCGGATGAGACAGGGCCCCGTTACTCCTCCCTGGTCTCTCTCTCAGCTCCCGCTGCCCAGAGGAGGAGACCCGCCAACAGACAGACGGCTCAGTGACGGGGGATGAAAACCAATCTGCTCGCTGAGGTGGTGGCTTTCAATACTCCATTCATCCCTCCTGCAGCGCCGAATAATGTCGCCTTTTGTCCCGCCGGCCCTCCCCGCCCTCCGGAGGGGCAGGGCTGACAGACGGCCCCTCCGCCGCCCTGCCCCGGCCAAACCCCGGCATCGCGTCCTGCTCGCAGGGACGTTGTCATCGCCGGCCACTTTTGTGCCGGAGCCAGCGCGTTCCTGCTCCCTGGAAGGGTGGCAGCGGGTTTTAACCACTGCGGTGCTGTGCCACGGCCGACCCCAGAGAGGGAAAACCTGATTTGCCTTCTCTGTCCCTTGCTCTTCCACCTGCTTCTCCATCCTCACCCCAATGCTCAGGGTTCAGCTACGAACAGAACCCCCTTCCTTGCATCCAGGGATGTTGGGGCCCTTTCAGAATGTCTATAGATTAAAAACTACTTTTAAGCCATAATTAGTCATTGTGGCACTGCAGCAAAGCAAAATATCCCTTTTAACATTGCCCAGAGAAGCTGTGGCTGCCCCATCCCTGGAAGTCTCCAAGGCCACACTGGATGGGGCTTGGATCAACCTGGGCTAGTGGAAGGTGTCCCTGCCCATGGCAGGGTGGAACGAGATGAGCTTTAAGGTCCCTTCCAACCCAAACCCCTCTGTGATTCTGTGAGGATTCTATGATTTAAAGGGTTGCTGAATGTGGGTTTCTGGAAGTCCTTTCAAACTGAGGTCCTGCAAGCTGTCAGGTGTCCTGTAAAAGCACTTCCCATCATGCACCCTATGGAAGGAGCAGCAAACCCCACATCACCCCCATCCTGCACAAGCACTGCCCACTGGGGCTGCTGTGAAACTCCCAGGGGAAGACCAGGGCTCCAATGTGGGGCACAGAAAGTCCCTGCTTTCACCCCAAATAATTCACCACAGCAGACACACTGTCCCCCACCAGCATTTTACCCACAATGAAAACTCCCTCCTCCCACCTGGACGTGAGACCGCAGAGGTCCTTCAGTCCCCTTTGGTTCCTTCTGTACCCCTTGGCCACAGCTGGAATGAGCCCCTGCTCTCTATTTGTCACTTCTACTTTTTAATACTCAAGTAACTCCAGGAGAAATCACAGTCTTTCATCCACCACCACCCCACCAGATCATTATTTGTAATTACCACCCTGACCTAAAAAAAAGCATCATAAATCCACATACCTGTTTGATAATTTCTCTCCAGTATAAAAGAGGGTATATCAAATCCCAGAAATATCTATTCTCTTTTGAAATAAAGGAAAGAGATGGCTATTTATAAAAAAATTTAAAAATAATGGTTGAAATTAGTATTCCCAGTAAGAGGTGATGGGGATAAGGCAGGAATTTTTTCTTTAGGTGAGATCTTGTTTAAAAAATTTTAAAAAATAATAAAAGGAGAAGAAAAAGGATCTCATCCATCAACAGAACAGCTCCAGCCCGTCATCTCTTTGCACCTTTGGGGTGGCTGCTGCTGGGTTACAGCGGGATGGCAGCCCTGCATCCCATCCTGGGGCAGGTCATTCCAAAAGCAAAGGAGAAAGAGAGGGAGGAGGAGAGGGAAGAAGAGGAAGAAGAAGGAGCGAGAAGGAAAGAGAGGGAAGACCGCTAAGGAGACATGGCGGGGAGGGAATGGCTCGGGTTTCAGGGAGGCAGGCAGGGACACATCCTTAAATTGGGTGCTGGCAGAGCCTGGGTTACGCCTCAGGGGAAGGGAGAAGCTTTTTCAGAGGATTTGGGCTTTTCAGCTCCTTCCCACCTCCCTCCTCAGCTGTCTGAGTGCCCACCTGGAGAGGAAGTCAGCAACAACCATCTGGCTGGAAATATTTCTGTCGATGCCTGAGCCAGCACTGGGATGCAACGGGAGGGGACAGTCCCAACATCTTGCCCCTCCTGAGGGATTTGGGAACCTGCTCCTCAGACAAACCATGGTCCTCCCTGCCTGTTCCTGGGCAAGAAGTTACCTTTAGAGGTCCTTTTTTTCAGGATTTTTCCTGCCTGGCCATCCAAGGCAGCTCTGCTGAGGACGTTAGAGGGACCTGCCATGTCCTTGCTCTCTTAGCCTGCAGTGAAGGATGTTCTGTGCTGGAAACCTTTCCCATCCACCTCCACCACCTCCTGCTCTACACATTCCTGTTGTCTCCTTCAGCTGCCAACCGGGGCATCTCTTTGTTTTAAAAGGAATTGTGTGCATTTAATAATTTCTAGCCATTATAGCCTTTTAACCGTTTTAACCATCATTGCAAGTAAAAGTCGAGTAATGTGAGACTTTTGGGTCCCAACAGGCTTGAGAATCATGGAAAAAGAACCTCCAAACATATTGGGTTTCTCATGAAATCTTAAGCTTCCCAGCAATTTTGGGAGCCTGGTGTGATTTTGGCTTCGAACAAGTTGATCTTATGAGCTACAGGATTCACTCTCACAGGAGGCAGCATTTGCCTCGTGGCTCTTGCTGCTGGATTGTTTACTCATTCCTACACAAAGGCAGACCCTTAAATGCCCTAAAATGCCTGTGTTTCATGTTTTAAGTCCTCACAAAGCCAGCTCTGGCTACAGCTGTCGCCAACTGCTTCTGCCATTACCTTCTTGTAGGGATTCAGTAATTAGCAATTAGGCATTTTTATTCCCCAGTAGCAGCAAAGTTCTAATTAACCAGATCATGAGTGAAAGTTTCAAAGGTGCCTTTTAAGTCTGTTTTGCCTAAACTTTGATAAACTCCCCACTGTCCTGGCTGTCAGCCAGGCCCATGGACTGGGAATCATCAGCTCCAGCATCGATCCACATCCAGGCTTTGGGGACCAGGAGTGTAAGCTGCCCTAATGTGGGCATGCAGGGATAAGGTCAGCAGCCTGAAGATGCCTTCCACCCTGCCCAGAATTTCTCTGGCCATTTAAGCACCATCTCAGATGTTTTCCATGTCTGCATCCTTCCTGCATGTGCTCTGAGTGGCTTGGCAGTATCAGGCTGTGGGATTATGCTGCTCCGAGGAAAAGAAAACACAGCCAGCCTTATTCGAGGAGCAGCCACAACACAAGAAAGGCTAATTATAAAATTCCACAGGACGGCAAGGCTGTTCTCTTGTGTGCTGGAGAAAAAAGCTCTTTTTGTGCTTCGTGATGGTCCTGCTGCCTACTCAGGCAGGGACACTCAGAGACATCAGTGATGCTCACAGGAGAGTGGCTTATGGAGGGTTCAGGGCCATCCCCACATCCACTCAGCATCTGCCATGTGCCACGAGCAGCACCTACCACAGCTTCCTATGGCAGCAGGTGGCATTTCCAGCAGATCTGTTTTCTGGCAGCAGCTCGGTCATGGGTGGAAGCTGGGCAAAACAAGTGGCTCACAAATCTGCAGAAAACACAGAGCCTCCAAAAATATAGTAATGATAATATAAACAGATTTTCCTTTTCAATTAGCCAGGAAACTACAGAGAGGAGAGACAAACTCGTTTGTGTGTCCTATGCCATGGCCAGGAATTGTTTTGGGGGTGTAAAGAAGAACCTGGTGCCATACAAAAAAGCCATAAGCTGAAACAAAAGGCATCTCCTTGCTGTCAGGAGGGAAGGATGGGGCTGAGCTGATCCTCAGGACACCAGTTGCTGTTGTGAGCCATTAGCCGGCTTATAACGAATGACAGGATTCCCCTGCTGATTGCTGAGCTAAATCACGGTGTACTTAGGGGTTTCCTGCTGCTGCCTGAGCTTCGGGGAGCAGCAGCACGAAGGATGCTGCACCTGCAATGGGATGAGCCACCCCTCCTTCTTCTGTTCCTCCTGCTGCTCCGGAGCACGAGCAGCAGATGGGATCCTGTGATGTGGGGTCCCAGGAGAGGAGCTCTCACCCCCAAACCAGTCTGTGTCCAGCAGCCTTAGGAGAAGGGAAAGGTGTAAATGCAGCACAAGAGCATTTTGGTTTCCTGTCCTCAGTGCAGAAGGAGCTGTGCTCCTAACACACCTCTATGCTAATTTTAAGGAATTTTCTGGCGGTTTATAAGTCCTGAAGTAAAGGCAGGGCTGAGGAAAGGGCGGTGGCAGCCCCCAGCATTGCACTCAGCTGCAGCAAGCTGGAGCTGCGGGAGAGGTACCCATCCCCTCCCCAGACAAAATCACCTTTGTTCCTCCCCGTAATCTGCTTCCTGCCCAACGTGCTGCAGAAACCACCTCAGCCAGGTGAGAAAGAGCAGCCCAAGGACGCTGTGCTGACAGGAGGCTCTCCAGAGGGCAGCTGACCCACGCCGTGGGCTCCAGCCGGCATCCAGAGCTGCGGAGGAGCAGGCACGGATCACAGCGGGGAAGAGGGGATGGGAAACGGGCAGCTGGGTCCTCTCCATCACCCGCGTTGGTCACAGCAAGGGCACTCGCTGTGGGAATGAGCTTTAGAGTATGTCTGTAACTCCCTGCCTTTTCTGGGTGTCATTATCTCCATGGGGTGAAACCTCACCCTGTACTGGACTCCTGGCAGTGGGATCCACTGGAACAGCAGCCATATATATGTATATGTGTGTGTGTGTACATATATATATGAGTGTGTGTGTATTTATACGTGTAGGTATATATTTATGTACGTATACGAGGCGTCCAGCAGGACCAGCACTTGCTGGCTTCTCTGCCAGCCCTGGGGAATCCAGGCATCCCGCTTCTGCTGCAGCATCGCTGTTGTGAGATGGGTGTGCTGCAGCCTCAGTGCTTTTAAAAATACACTCCTGAGAGCCCAGACCACGCCCAAGTGTGCGGCTGGGAAGTGGTGACCTGTCTGGGGACACGCAGGCTGACAAGACAGTCGGGGTGGACATCGCTGCCTGCTGGGGCAGGGACCTGTGTGGAGATGCCGTGTCCGAGCCTGACACTCCAGGGAACAGCTTGGGTTGGAAGGGACCTTTAGAGGTTTATTTAGTTCCGGGAATGCTCCGGAGCGATGGATCACCTCGTCGGCTGCCAGGCGGCTGAACGTGCACTAGGTGGCAACCAGCTTCAGGGAGAGGCGCTTGCGGCAGCCGGGAGGGGTGTTTCGTTTGGTCAGGGAGAGCAAAACTCCACTGGGAACCCCCAGGGACCTGCCAGCGCGGTGGGCACAGCAGGCAGAAGGCAAAGTAAGACCAGTCCTGTCCATAATTAACATTGATGGCGAGGGGAGGGTGGCCAGAGCAGAGGAGACGCACTCAGTCCAGAGGACCGGGCTCCAGAGTTTCCTGGCTGGATTTAGCAAAGGCAGGGAGGAAGCTGTGGCTGCCCCATCCCTGGAAGTGTCCAAGGCCAGGATGGACAGGGCTTGGAGCAACCTGGGATAGTGAAAGGTGTCCCTGCCCATGACAGGGGGGGAAGGAGATGAGGTTTAAGTTCCCTCCCGACCCAAACCATTCATGATTCCATGATTTCCCTGGAGAAGGCAGGCAGAGGGGAATAGAGCGTTTAGCTGAGTTCATGGGGCATCTTCCACCACCAGCAGGGGTGAGGAACATGTCCCCTTCAGTAGGTAAATCCCAGGTGTTGGAGAGCAAGGTCACCCAGCAAGAGTGGGATGACCACACCAGATCCACCCCTGCTTTTTCTAATCACTCCCCAGCAAGAACCAGCAGCAGCTGCTGCAGAGGAAAATGAAACAAAATTTCACCTATTATCCTCTGCCTGCAGAGGAATTTCTTCCTAATTCCTGTCACTTTGGGTTTGTCTGCTCAGGGAAATTAATCTGAAATCGAGTGGGCTGTGAATTCAAAGTGCTGCAGCAATCCCAGCAGAGCTTGGACAGGCTGTTTCCTAAGTGGCCAGGCTATTCCCCAGAGCACCAGCCTAAGCCTGGCAATTTAACAGAGCCCCAAGCATCAGGTTTTATAGACATTAGTGTAGGACCTTGAGTCAAAACCGCCTGAGATGGAGCAGCCATGGAGAAATTAATTCAACAGCCTTCCAGCCCTGCTGCAAGAAAAGAAACAGGAGGAAGGCAAATATTTGACTGATTACCCCAGTGTGTGGATGGATCAGACAGGAGTTGATCCCATGTTGGAGGACTCCCTGCTTTGCATACTGATTTGGGGAGCATGCAGAAAAGGGTGTGGGAAAGAAGAACATGGGAAATAAGGGATAAAGCTGGGAAAAAAATCTGTAAGGGACTGTGTTAAAATCTGTGGATCATTAGGGTAAAAATAATATAAAATACAATATCCAATATTTTAGCAGGCAGTCAGGACTTTGAGGTCTGCATCCCTGTAAAAGCAGGGTCCTTAGGGAGAGCAGGACACCGAGTTTCACATCCAAGCTCAGAGAGCATCTTCACAGAGGTTGTTCTTCACGCAGAACGGTTGGAGGAATTTGTGCAGTGGGGTCTGACAGGTTCAACTGGTCACCAGACCCCAGATTCCTGTTGTACGT